TTAAAAAATAACTTATAAATGAGAATTTTTAGAAGCAAATTAATATAAAATATATAAATAAAAAAATTAGCATTACAAAAAAACAGTTCTTAAGGCAAAACATCAGTAAAATATGAAAAAAACTGTTTATAAATTGATAACATATAAACTACAAAAGATTTATTCATAAATTATTTAACATAAAACATGAAATTATTAAGAAAGTCACCAATTGGGAATTTTAACTAAGTAAAATATTGATAGTAATTTTAATATTATAATCAGTAATAACATATTATTAACATTTGGCGTAACAGACTTATCCGGATGTGTCTTGTACGTCGTTGTTAGACCAAATGAACAACTAGACATATAAATTAATAATGTATCTCCATTTACAATGTACGGATTTATCTGGTTGTTGCATTAATGGACGTGAAATATTAGTATTACTAATTTTCGATCAAAACACGATTTTGACTACAATAAAACGATGTCTTGTACTATTCCCAGGGTGTTTATTTCCTACCACGCGCAGTTGTGATAACCGGTATAAGCGTACAGACTTGACGAGAAGTGAGGGATTTACTCCCAGATGTGGGATTTTTGAAAGGACTCAGAAATTCGGGATTACTCAATTTTTCAACTTAATGAACGATTTAAAATAAGTATTTTACCATAACAGGGAAAAATGTATTATACACGTATTTTATAATTATAATCATCTGTTACTGTAAATAAGTCGCCGAAAGCAGCAAATGGCTATTACGTCGCGTCCACACCAACAAAATACTGTCGCATACATTTGTTGCCGACATTGTCGTCGAAAAAGTTTATTAAATGTTTTTAATAATTTTGTTTCCCAACTAGTGGTTGTAGCATCAAAATACGAGTATGTATGTAGACATTGCAAGAAGAACTCTAATTTGAATTTACATTAAAATATAGTACATGGATGTGTATTAAACGTGAAACGAATAAATTCAATATTATGAAATATGTAATTTCTGTAAATATTAGATTTATACATTTTTTAATGGTAATCAGTCAACGATTCACATTAGTCATCGCACACCATTTACCTACCTTTATATTCTACTACTAATAGTTGAACAACAAAGCTAATTAAAGACAGTCAAAATTAGTGGGGCCGCCAAGGTAATAACCCAGGTCTCGGGTTTCTCCCTCTATCACCCTCACTTGTATATATAACGGTGGGCAGTTATACATCAAGCAACAGTTCATCACCGACTATCTTTACAAATAACATTAACATTCGTTTTCGACTTGAGTGCGCGTCGATAAATTACGATAATCAAAATGGTCAAACTCATTGTGGCAATTGTTTGTTGTATCGTCTTGACGACGCCTATGATCCAGGCTGATGATATTTACACCTCTAAATATGATAACATAAACGTCGACGAGATCCTGAAAAGCGATCGTTTGGTGAGCAACTACTTCCAATGCTTAATGGACAACGGGGCTTGTACGCAGGAAGGCGATCTCCTAAAAAGTGAGTGATTTTTTTTTTTTTCATTTTCATAATGCAATACGTGTTGGATACTTTAGTAACAATATTCGATAAACATAACCTATATGCTTTACGAATCAAATAGTTTTTGATTTTGCTATTTATATTGTGCCTAAACATGTTTTTATTTATCGAATATATCTATGTATTCCATACATATAATCGTGCGATGTTCAAGATATTTGAAATGTTCTTGAAATGGCAACAACTCTTTTTTTCAATTATCGTCTATCGACAAATATCCCATTTATTTCTATAGATATACTTACGAATTACAATATTGCTATCCGTTTTAAAAAATTTTCAAGAAGACATTTTTTTCCCGCGTCTACCAATGAATATTAACTATGGGTATTTTTTTTTTTTTTTTTACAGTTATATTACTTTATTTACTTAAACTACAAGACTATCCTATTTTAATATTTAGACATACGAAAAATTAAAAATCCTCGAATATATTTCGCGAATTAGAAATTATTTTTAATACAATTTCATAGAGTTCATTTGTCCCTAATTAATATTTCAAATATGTATTATTGTTTCCAAATGTATACAAGTCATATAATCATACAGCTAAAAATGTAAACGCTTTCTTCATGTCTTATCAGTTTTGTTAATCTCATACATTGTGTGTTTTATAGAATTACTCCCCGAAGCAATAAAAAGTGATTGCGCGAAATGTTCAGAAAAACAAAAAATTGGCGTTGAAAAAGTCATCAGGTTTTTAACAGAAAATAAAAGCGACCTTTGGAAACAAGTCGTGGCAAAATATGACCCTGAAGAAACCTACAGTCAACGTTACTTGGAAAAGTTGAAGAAGGCGAAGGTGTGATATTGAACCAAAATATAAAATAGATGAATGTACACAATTTTCACTAAATAGCATTTCGATGAAAATCTATATTATTTTTGGTGTATCATTAAATTAACTACTTAATATTTATGTATTTATAATTTACTTACTTAGCAATTACTTTTTTCTTGTATAGTAATATAAACTATATATTTTTCTGAAAGTTACTTTCAACTGTGTCTGAAAACTAAATATACATAATTTTTAACACCTATTTGATGATTTTTATTTGGTTTTATCAACACACAATTACATATGCATATTAAGTTTCAATATTATATTTCTTATAAAATTTGTATTTTATAATAACTTGCGCTCTGCTTTTTAACCAAACATTATTTAATATATATATTTTTACCATTTGACACAACAGACTTATCCGGATGTGTCTTGTACGTTTTTGTTAGACCGAATGAACAACGAGACATATCAATATATATTGGACCTCCGTTTATAATGTACGGATTTATCTGGTTATTGCATCAATTGACGTGAAATATTAGTATTAATAATCATCGATCAAAACACGATTTTTACCACATTATAGAGATGTCTTGTACTTGTCCCTGGTTGTTTATTTTCTACTACGTGCAGTTGTGAGGACCTGTACAAGTGTACAGACCTGACGAGAAGGAAGGGATTTATTCCCAGATCCGGGATTTTTGAGATGGTCCTGAAATTTGGGATCGTTCAATTTTTTCGAACTAAATTAACGATTTAAAATAAGTATTTTACTATTCCAGCGAAAAATGTATTATACATTTATTTTATAACCATAAGCAGCTATTACTCAGTGGCAGTTTTAGAGTGGAGGGGTGGTGATTGGTAGACAGTCCTACCTTTAACCGTGTAAAAATTAAAAATATGAATGAGCAAACAGTTAACTTAAAATCGTTTTGGCCATAATTTTATATTAAAACTGTTTAGTATATACAAAAATGTTTGCTCCTACTCGTATGAGTTCCACTGTTAATTCAACTTGATTAAATAATAATTTTTGTTCGAATTTTTTTCCTTGACACATATATTTTTATGTTATGCCGTTGTAGTTTAAAGTTTATAGAATTTAAAATTATTTCTCATGTATCAAGCAATAGGAAAAAATAGATGGGATATGTATGCAAATTGTTAGTGTTTAAAAATATATTCACCTCCCCCTTGTGTCTTCTCAAAAATTGCCACTTTTATAAATGCAAATCGTTGGCCGACAGCAACTAATGGCTATTACGCTGCGTTTATACCAAGGAAATACTGTCGCATACAAATACAAATTTTTAAAAACGTATCCAACTCTGTTGGATAAAAAGTCGAAAAAAGCCAATGTTCCAACTACAAAAATTAAATAAAATAGTTATGTATAGCCTTCGTAAATATATTCTAAATTGTATAATATAATTATCATAGTCATTGATCATTATTATTTTCATTATCAAAGAAAAAGTTTAACTGGTCTGGATGTGTACATACATTGTATTCGATAATGTCTACATACATACTCGTATTTTGATGATTACCGCCACTAGTTGGGAAACAAAATAATTAGAAACATTAATGAAACTTTGTCGGCAATAATGTCTAAAACAAATGTATGCGACAGTATTTCCTTGGTATAAACGCAGCGTAATAGCCATTAGTTGCTGTCGGCCAACGATTTGCATTTATAAAAGTGGCAATTTTTGAGAAGACACAAGGGGGAGGTGAATATATTTTTAAACACTAACAATTTGCATACATATCCCATCTATTTTTTTCCTATTGCTTGATACATGAGAAATAATTTTAAATTCTATAAACTTTAAACTACAACGGCATAACATAAAAATATATGTGTCAAGGAAAAAAATTCGAACAAAAATTATTATTTAATCAAGTTGAATTAACAGTCGAACTCATACGAGTAGGAGCAAACATTTTTGTATATACTAAACAGTTTTAATATAAAATTATGGCCAAAACGATTTTAAGTTAACTGTTTGCTCATTCATATTTTTAATTTTTACACGGTTAAAGGTAGGACTGTCTACCAATCACCACCCCTCCACTCTAAAACTGCCACTGAGTAATAGCTGCTTATGGTTATAAAATAAATGTATAATACATTTTTCGCTGGAATAGTAAAATACTTATTTTAAATCGTTAATTTAGTTCGAAAAATTGAACGATCCCAAATTTCAGGACCATCTCAAAAATCCCGGATCTGGGAATAAATCCCTTCCTTCTCGTCAGGTCTGTACACTTGTACAGGTCCTCACAACTGCACGTAGTAGAAAATAAACAACCAGGGACAAGTACAAGACATCTCTATAATGTGGTAAAAATCGTGTTTTGATCGATGATTATTAATACTAATATTTCACGTCAATTGATGCAATAACCAGATAAATCCGTACATTATAAACGGAGGTCCAATATATATTGATATGTCTCGTTGTTCATTCGGTCTAACAAAAACGTACAAGACACATCCGGATAAGTCTGTTGTGTCAAATGGTAAAAATATATATATTAAATAATGTTTGGTTAAAAAGCAGAGCGCAAGTTATTATAAAATACAAATTTTATAAGAAATATAATATTGAAACTTAATATGCATATGTAATTGTGTGTTGATAAAACCAAATAAAAATCATCAAATAGGTGTTAAAAATTATGTATATTTAGTTTTCAGACACAGTTGAAAGTAACTTTCAGAAAAATATATAGTTTATATTACTATACAAGAAAAAAGTAATTGCTAAGTAAGTAAATTATAAATACATAAATTAATAGTTAATTTAATGATACACCAAAAATAATATAGATTTTCATCGAAATGCTATTTAGTGAAAATTGTGTACATTCATCTATTTTATATTTTGGTTCAACATCACACCTTCGCCTTCTTCAACTTTTCCAAGTAACGTTGACTGTAGGTTTCTTCAGGGTCATATTTTGCCACGACTTGTTTCCAAAGGTCGCTTTTATTTTCTGTTAAAAACCTGATGACTTTTTCAACGCCAATTTTTTTGTTTTTCTGAACATTTCGCGCAATCACTTTTTATTGCTTCGGGGAGTAATTCTATAAAACACACAATGTATGAGATTAACAAAACTGATAAGACATGAAGAAAGCGTTTACATTTTTAGCTGTATGATTATATGACTTGTATACATTTGGAAACAATAATACATATTTGAAATATTAATTAGGGACAAATGAACTCTATGAAATTGTATTAAAAATAATTTCTAATTCACGAAATATATTCGAGGATTTTTAATTTTTCGTATGTCTAAATATTAAAATAGGATAGTCTTGTAGTTTAAGTAAATAAAGTAATATAACTGTAAAAAAAAAAAAATACCCATAGTTAATATTCATTGGTAGACGCGGGAAAAAATGTCTTCTTGAAAATTTTGTAAAACGGATAGCAATATTGTAATTCGTAAGTATATCTATAGAAATAAATGGGATATTTGTCGATAGACGATAATTGAAAAAAAGAGTTGTTGCCATTTCAAGAACATTTCAAATATCTTGAACATCGCACGATTATATGTATGGAATACATAGATATATTCGATAAATAAAAACATGTTTAGGCACAATATAAATAGCAAAATCAAAAACTATTTGATTCGTAAAGCATATAGGTTATGTTTATCGAATATTGTTACTAAAATATCCAACACGTATTGCATTATGAAAATGAAAAAAAAAACCACTCACTTTTTAGGAGATCGCCTTCCTGCGTACAAGCCCCGTTGTCCATTAAGCATTGGAAGTAGTTGCTCACCAAACGATCGCTTTTCAGGATCTCGTCGACGTTTATGTTATCATATTTAGAGGTGTAAATATCATCAGCCTGGATCATAGGCGTCGTCAAGACGATACAACAAACAATTGCCACAATGAGTTTGACCATTTTGATTATCGTAATTTATCGACGCGCACTCAAGTCGAAAACGAATGTTAATGTTATTTGTAAAGATAGTCGGTGATGAACTGTTGCTTGATGTATAACTGCCCACCGTTATATATACAAGTGAGGGTGATAGAGGGAGAAACCCGAGACCTGGGTTATTACCTTGGCGGCCCCACTAATTTTGACTGTCTTTAATTAGCTTTGTTGTTCAACTATTAGTAGTAGAATATAAAGGTAGGTAAATGGTGTGCGATGACTAATGTGAATCGTTGACTGATTACCATTAAAAAATGTATAAATCTAATATTTACAGAAATTACATATTTCATAATATTGAATTTATTCGTTTCACGTTTAATACACATCCATGTACTATATTTTAATGTAAATTCAAATTAGAGTTCTTCTTGCAATGTCTACATACATACTGGTATTTTGATGCTACAACCACTAGTTGGGAAACAAAATTATTAAAAACATTTAATAAACTTTTTCGGCGACAATGTCGGCAACAAATGTATGCGACAGTATTTTGTTGGTGTGGACGCGACGTAATAGCCATTTGCTGCTTTCGGCGACTTATTTACAGTAACAGATGATTATAATTATATAATACGTGTATAATACATTTTTCCCTGTTATGGTAAAATACTTATTTTAAATCGTTCATTAAGTTGAAATATTGAGTAATATTAGTTAATATTTATTAAATTTTGATATCCAATATTTAAAAAAGGTAAGCGTGATTTGTTTACGACAGTGACTAAGAAAATGTCTTAGAAGTCAGTGGTTTACTTGTACCATATATGTATAGATAGTACTACCTTTAATCGTACAGAGACAGTAGACAGACCTAACCTAACCTAACCTAACCATTTGGTAACGATCACAATATTGTATTATGATTCAAGTGTGTACACATAAACTTTTCTAGGAATACATCACTTCTTATCGGCGTCTGTTACTAGTGCTGAGAGTTCCTTCGATGTACTTTCGAGAGAAAAAATCTTCCTTCAGACTTGTTTCGCAAAAACAATAGTATCAGGATTAACAATTGTTTGTTTATAATCGGCGTTAGCAGCGTGGATTATTTTTGAAATAGTCATATACTCGTTTGCACCAGAACAAGCAAGAAAAGCTAATTTTAATTTACATTATAATATAGTACACGAATGTGTATTAAACATGAAATAAATAAATTCAATTAACTCAAGATTACGAAGTGTGTAACTTCTGTAAATTTTTGTTTTATACATTTTCTAGTTGTTGTAATTTAATGTTTCTTTGATCACCTTTAACCAAGGCTGGGAATTAACGAGTTTAAAAATTGAATTTACGTTAAAAAATTTATTTTATTGTAAATTTTTAACTTAACTAGTTACGTTTAGATTTTAATAACTTATGTATTAACTTACCAAAATAATTTTTAACTAACGTCAATTTAACTAATTTATTTTCATTTTAAGATTTAAGTTAGTTTAATTTTTTTTGTGTCTTAATGTTTTTTACATTTCATTATTTCAGTCGTTTTCATGTCAAAAAATATTTTTATTGTGAATTTATTAGTGTTAAAAATGTTATTTTTCCAATCACTTTGTATTCTAAAGGAATAACCTGTATATATTAGAAAATATTTTATAATAAAATGTTTTTTGTTATTTATATGATTCAATTAATTATAACAACCATCAAGTAATAATAATATATTATAGACATAATTGTTGTAGGTATTTAAACAAATTAAGCAGTTTAAGTATATTCCATATGGTTTGTGTATTATTTTTATCGACGATTTACGCATGCGACGTCGTCATTTCGGAAAAAAATAAATAGTAACCAACTATAAAGTCTAAAAATAAAAACAAATTATCTATTTGAAGATTTTCTGACATGGTAATATGGGTCTGTAATTTTATTAGTATTCAGATGCGAACTTTTGGTTATTTATACAGTAACAGCACGAATTATTTATTTTTGTGCATTTGTACAGATTGTTCTGTAGATTGTGCCACTGCGGTATGCACGTTAATAATTAAAATATTAAAACTAAAACTCCTCACGATTATTTTACAAATCTAAAGAATGTTAAGGATTTGACACAAATTCTCAAAAAGCCTTAGAGTTAATTACTGCGGTTCCATCGTCTGAGCATGTATAAAGCTTATTCAGTGCTGAGGGACTTCAGTGTTGTTCGAAAAGAGGAGAGCATCAAAAACAGATAAAAAATTTTAAATGGTTCTCATCTTAAAGTTTAATTATTATTATTTTATAGTTTGGTAAATATTATCATTTTGATTGCATTTTTTTTAAAAATTGTAAATTTATTGTTATGTAATGTAAAATTTTAATTTAATTTAATAATTTATTGTGGCAATCGTTTGTTGCATCCTCTTGGCGATGCCTGTGATCCTGGCTGATGATATTTACACTCCTAAATACGATAACATAAACGTCGACGAGATCCTGAAAAGCGATTGTTTGGTGAGAAACTACTTCCAATGCTTAATGGACAACGCGGCTTGTACGCAGGAAGGCGATCTCCTAAAAAGTGAGTGGTTTCTTTATAATTTTCATTGTGCAATACGTGTTGGATACTTAGCAACAATATTCGATAAACATAACCTATATACTTCATGATACAAATAACTTTTTTTATTTCGTCTTATTTGTATTGTGCTTATGTATATTTTTATTTATCAAATATTTTCATGAAACCCATACTTTTATTATACGATGCTCAACATATTTGAAATTGTCTCAATATGCTTCCAATCGATTTTCAATCATCGTCTACCGACAAATATCCTCATTGATACAATACGTTTCATATTTCTATAGATATATTATGAATTACAATATTACTATTCCTTTTATCATATTTTTATGAATACTTTTTTCCCCGCGTCGTCCCTTTAACATTAACTATGGATATTTATTTTTTGTTACAGTTATATTATTTTATTTACTTAAACTACAAGACTAACCTATTTTAATATTAAATACTAAAATAGGTTAGTCTTGTATGTTTAAATTTTAAACATACGAAAAATTAAAAATCCTCGAATATATTTCGCGAATTAGAAATTATTTTTAATATAATTTCATAGAGTTCATTTGTCCCTAATTAATTTTTCAAATTTGTATTATTGCTTCCAAATGTATACATGTCATATAATCATATGGCTAAAAATGTAAACGCTTTCTTCATATCTTATCAGTTTTGTAAATCTCATACATTGTGTGTTTTATAGAATTACTCCCTGAGGCAATAAAAAATGATTGTGCGAAATGTTCAGAAAAACAAAAAATTGGCGTTGAAAAAGTTATCAGGTTTTTAACAGAAAATAAAAGCGACCTTTGGAAATAAGTCGTGGCAAAATATGACCCTGAAGAAACCTACAGTCAACGTTACTTGGAAAAATTGAAGAAGGTGAAGGTGTGATGTTGAACCAAAATATAAATAGATGAGTTTACACGATTCTCACCAATTTTCGATGAGAATCTACTCGTATATTAATTCTAGTGCATCATTAGATTAACTGCTTAATATTTATGTACTTATAATTTACTTACTTAGCAATTACTTTATTTGTGTACAGCAATATAAACTATATCTTTTTCTCAAAGTTATTTTTAACTGTGTCTGAAAATTAAATATAATTAATTTTTAACACCTATTTGATGATTTTCATTTGTTTTTATCAACACACAAATACATTTGCATATTAGGTTTCAAGATTATATTTCATATAAAACGTACATTTTATAATATCTCGTATTCTATTATTTAACCGAATATTATTTTATGTTGGTCTATGAGCAGTATTCCATTTATATTATAATATGAAATTCGAGTGAAACTTAAACCCCAAGCCGTATTTTTCATTAACAAAATGTGAATCTATATCAACATCAATACTATTTATTTTGTTTTATTACAATATTCTAAACAGCAAAGATAAATATTTCTGGTTCACTTAATGAATAACTATATTTCCTGATTAATTAGAAATTAAATAAAATAGTAATCCTTGCGCATATTATTACCAAATCTTATCGAACGTTATAATTTGTATTTTTCGACTGTAGATAGGCACATAAAATTTAAATAGATTGTGAACCATAAGTAGTTGGTACACACATTTATAAAACTAACAACTTACTTATTTTAGCATAGATGTTTGAAGAAAATTCTGAATCATTTGTAGATAGAATATTATTTATTTCATGTTATATTAATAATATTCAATA